AAAGTCTCTGTAATTGTTGAATAATACATATGCGCTGAAATGATTTACTGGAGTGGGAGGTCTTTGCTGAGCTCTATCAATGGAGAAAAATAATGGGATTTCTTACCTCTGGGACTCTACTGTCTCACAATAGATATTACGATCTATCACACACATGAGATTAGGCTAATTCTCAGCCATTCTCTTTAAACAGATTCTGTGCTGCCACAATTTGAGATGGAATCAACCTGTTTACATTCTGACAGATTTGGACCTTTTGCAGTTTACCATTAGTCAGTAAATCAGCCATATTTGGGTTTGTCCAGCATACCAGTGTCACGTTTGCTCCTGCTCCTCAATTCCATTTAGTTGACTGTTGCAAGGATTTTGCCGGGTTCATCTTCGCTCAGCAAGTGATTACTGTGAAAGCATCAGCTTTTGTGGCCTATCTTTAATCTCCCTCTACAGCTTATCCTGACTCTAGATGAACCCTGATCTCTCCATACGAGTGTCACTCACAACATTCACATTTACAAGAGTTCTGGCTCCCTCACTCTCTGTAGAGCATAATAAAGAGCTGCACTTACGGTAGACCTAGAAAAGCCGAATAATTTGACAGAAATACTTCAGAGAGCCCGGCAATCGTTTCAATGATTTAATTGCTCTCATATGATTTGTCATTACTGGAGGAAATGGGGGTCAAGCAGAAGGTGAAGAATTGGCATTCATTTTTCAGAAGCTGCAGAGAATCTCTAATTATTTTTCAGCGAGAGCACAATTCAACAGTATAAACAAAGATTTTAGACTTCACTTGCCCCGTATATAGTTAAGACGGCTGTACTGAAAGTCAGTACAAATATAATTAAATATAAAAAAAATATGATATAATTTTGCATGTTTTTAAACCAGTTTGATGAGATTTAAAGACCATCTTATCATCAAAAGTAAATAAAAGATCTGTAATAATGAGAGCTGTTTAATATATATATATATACATACACACATGCATGTAAGAAAAAAACATATTATTTATACATTAAATATTTATATTTACACATCATATAAATTATTATATATATAAATTAATATATAAATCTATATACAGTATATACATGAAAATATTTCTTAAATATATACAAGCATGTGTGTGTATTTATATATATAAATAATTATACACAGTGCACCCACATATATTATCTAAACACAAACTTTTATTTTGGATGCGACGATTAATCACGATTAATCGTTTGACAGCCCTAATATATATATATATACCATGTTTAAATTGTTCTCCAATGCTCAGAAGGGTCACAATTAATATTCAAACAATGTTAGTTCCTTTTCACTTCTTGAAAAATAGATCAAAAAGCACAGAAAGACTCTGAAACTCTTTGACAAGGATATGAAACATTAATTCCATTTGCTGTGACAAAGGATTTATCTGTAACGTCCCCTGACTCTGAAAGCCTGCCAAAGACTCGGCTTCCCTTTACTGTTCATTTTTTAATATCCGCATTTCTGATTTGCAAGCTCATGCTCACACTGACATACCTACAGCTCTCAGGGCAAACTCCACAGCCACCTCACAAGCATTCTGCTCTGTGACCTGGTCAACGATGCCCAGCTTCAGAGCCTCCTGGGAAGAGACATGGCGGCCTGCAATATGAAACAATAATTCTGCAGTTGGTAAAGTAGAAACTGAGCGATGTGCGGGTGTTTTACTTGATTATTATTATTTCTTGTTTTGCTTTATACATTATTACAGTGGGTGAGGAAAATCCCACCATTACCATAAAATAACTGAAATCTCACTGTGCATGTTAAAAGGATTAGTTCACCCATAAATGAAAATAAATGAGTCACCCTCACAGCGTTTCAATCCCATATGCTGTTAATTTACTAGTGGAAAATATATAGACTTTTTAAAGAATGTACATAAAAAAGTGCTGAAAAATTTGCAGCCCACCATAATAATAATAATAACAATTATAATACATAGCCTACATTTGGAATGACATGAGGGTGTGCATTTTTGTATGAACTGTTGCTGTACGCTGAACAATGACACTATTTTCTTTTAGAGCTGCTTTGCAGCAGAACTGAAAACTGTTTGCATCAGTGAATCATTATTTCCCTGTTTATCCCTGTAAAGCTGCTTTGAAACAATCTGTATTGTATAAAGCGCTATCTGGATTTGACTTGTTGCTATATAAGCCCTAAAGCAAATCAATTAGACACATTGTGCAATGCTGACACCTGGTGGGAAAAGTTTGATTTATTACTGAAAACAAAATGTAGTCCCCTACTGTTTTCATTTTTAACATAAAGTACATTGGATTATCAGATTAACTGTAGCATTTCTTACATTGAAGAACTAGTCTATTCTCTAAATCTATTTCTCTTTCATCTGAAAATATCAGAGACACAGCAGTTATTATTGAGTAGCAAAAAAGCTCACAAAAATTTTAGCCAATCAGGAAATTCAAAAACAATCTCTGCAGGACATATTTCAGTCACTTGACTTTGACTGTTATGTTTTTTGTGGAGCTACGATTTACAGAGTAGGGTATGTGGCTGAAATTAGCAAAGAGGCTGAAATCTGTTGGGGTGAATTGTGGGTATGCCAATAGGCTAAGTGTATGATTTACCCGTGGTGATTAGTTCTAGAGCAGCAGGAATGCCAATGAGCCTGGGAAGACGCTGAGTTCCCCCGGCAGCTGGCAGGAGGCCCAAAGTCACCTCCGGAAGCCCAAGACGTGCCTGGAACGCAAAATACATTAGTACATTACATACTTAAAGCGATAGTTCACTTTGAAATTAATTTTTGATATGTTTTAGCTTACCTCAAGGGGATCCAAGATGTAGGTGTTTGTTTCCACAGCATTTTTAATTTTGACATTTTTTGGTCAAACCGTTGTTGTCTGTCAGACATACACTGGAGGTGAAGGGGGTCCTCAATCGGTTCACCTCAAAGAGCATGCACAGAGAAGTCAAAATTAAATATGATTTAATGACTCGTACATGTAAGTACACATTGATGGCCTAAGACACGAAACGAGCGGTTTGTGTGAGAAAACGAACAGTATTTATATTGTTTTACCTCTTGTAATCATAGCCATGACAAAATGATCTGACGGCACGGGCGCTTCGGTCTGCGCATGCGCTGGAAGTGATCGCTTGCACGCCTACGTCACTCTTTGTTTATACAGAGATTTCGGAAGTTTTACCTTTCACTAAACATATTTAGATATACAGGAAACCGCAATGGAAGACGATTTCGATATCTAAATGTGTTTAGTAAAAGGTAAAACTTCCGAAATCTCCGTGTAAATATTGAGTGACGTCACACGCAAGCGATCACTTCCGGCGTAACATTGAACTGATTCAGTTAGGACATTGCACAACTGATTCAGATCACTTGGATTACACGAGGTAAAAACGATATAAATACTGTTCGTTTTCTCACACAAACTGCTCGTTTCGTGTCTTAGGCCATCAATGTGTACTTACATTTACGAGTCATTAAATCATGTTTAATTTTGACTTCTCTGTGCATGCTTTTTGGTGGACCCCCTTAACCTCCAGTGTATGACTGAAAAATGTCAAAATTGAAAATACTGTGGAAACAAAGACACCTACATCTTGGATGCCCTTGAGGTAAGCTAAAACATATCAAAAATTAATTTCAAAGTGAACTATCCCTTTAATGCATAAACCACAAACCAACAACCTTTCCTTCTTCAAATATTGATATCAAAGTTCAACCCATTAACTTAGCAGCACTAGACAGTATTGCACAATATTCAAGCATGTTCATAAGAATACACAGCAACATAAAATGGTTTACCTTAGAGTGTGCAATACGGTAGTGACACACGAGGGCTAATTCAAGGCCCCCACCTAGAGCTACCCCCTCTATGGCAGCAACCACAGGCTTCTCTCCGGCCTCTATGGAATCCAACAAGGGTAGCAGAGGAGGTCCTCTCAAAGGCCCAGCAAACTCACGGATGTCCGCACCTGGAGAAAAATGCTTTATCAGATGGTCTTCTTACATAACTTGGCTAGGACAAGCAAATCAGTGAAAGTCCTGTGCAACATACATGCGCCAGCATGTTTATCTTGAAAATGTCATTTTTATTGTTTATGGATGTTTATCTGTGATAATCTAACCTCCACAGAATCTTCCATTCTCTCCACAGATCACCACAGCAGTGACCTTCGGGTCACTCAGGGCTCGATCTATGGTCTTTGCAATGCCATGACGCACAGCAGAACTAAGGAAAAAAAGCAGATGGACATGTTAAAATCACTATCATAATGGGTTTGTATTAATTATGCACTTGAAAACACTTTTAATGATACTTTGTATTTTTCTATGTGGAAGATCATGTGTAACAATCTTATTTAAAAGTTCTTTTTTTTAACTATGCAAAAGTTAGAATTATAACAATGTACATAACAATAGGAAGATATATGCAAGATTCTACAAATTGCTAGTTTGGTCTTGGTTTAATAAGAACAAATATAAATGGATTGGAAAATATGTTTTATTTTTTATTTTTTATGTTTTTACTCACCTTAATGAGTTGACTGGTGGGTTGGTAAGAGTGATCAGAGCAACTGATCGTTTAACAAGTTCGTATCGGGCCATTGCGTTGAGCTGTGTTGTGTTGTGTTGTGTTGTGTTTTGAGTTGAAAGAACTGCAGGACTTTGGAACTTGTGACCAGCAAACTCGGTGCATCAATGTAATCACACCCACTCTAATCGACACGTCACATCTCCTATGTGTCTTCCGTGAAGATTATTTTTTAATGCGATAATATAAACACATTGCTTTGCCAAAAAAGCTAACGTTATTCAAATCACATCTGGTCACCGCAGGCAGGAGCTTTTTTTTTTCTTACTGTCAATGGGCAGGAGGCGGCTTCCATTCCCGGAAGTGAATTTACAAATTCTACTATGGTCAAGGACTGACTGAATATTAATCAAACGTCACATAAGGTTTAGAAACACATTTTAAATATTATTATTAGACTTTAAATAATACGGTGTATATTAGAATTCATAAGTATGGCCAGAGTCCGACATTCTCTGCTATGGCCTTCACCCACGTAGGATTCGTACTTTCGCTCCCGGAAGTTATTAGCAGCCAGGGAATAGACATGAAGTATCTGCAGGAGTATCTGGGCTCTCTAGTAACAACATAGTCATGCGCTCGCTTGCTGGACTGATCGCTGTAATAGTAACGGCTACATTTTATCTTTATTTACTCTCCTCTTATCTTCCCCCTGGACCCCAGCTGCCTAAACAGGACCATGAAGGAGACACGGCAAAATCTAATGGTGAAGACAACCAGAATGAAATGGAGACTGCAGCCTCCAGGTGTGCTTCTCTAATGCATGTGTGATCTAATTGACGGTCTGTCTTTCGCTATAGATAGATAGTTCTCGCAGCTGAAATTGTGATTTACCAGTCTTATGCTAAACATTCTGAGGATGTGTCGTTAGCATAGTGTAAGCATTATTAAAATGGATGGTATCTTGTCCTTGTCTCCAGCTGTCATTTGTCCTTCTGCAGTTAAAATTAGATCTGTTCTGTGTTGCTGCCATGTTCATAATGCAGAAGTTTACTCGTGACCATCTTACTATTATTTGCAATATTAACTCTACCTACCCGATGTTAGTATATTAATTTATCTTTTATATTGATATTTCTAGGATAGCTTTAAGTTGTTTTCCCCCTCGTTTTTATTTTTATCTTAATGTTTTGTTTTGTTTTTCTATGCAAGCATAGATAATCTTGCTTTAAAGGGTTAGTTCACCCAAAACTGAAAATTATGTCATTAATTACTCACCCCCATGCTGTACCAACCCCATAAGACCTTCGGAACACAAATGAAGATATTTTTTTATTAAATTTGAGAGGTGGATCACTGCTACATAGGCACCCTAAGGGATTGAAACTTGACAGCCTAGAAAGTCATTGAAGAAAATGTTTAAATATTCGATGTGACTACAGTGGCTGAACTATAAGTTTATCAAGAGACGAGAATACTTTTTGTGCGGAAATAAAACAAAAATAACGACTTTATTCTGGGCCTGAGACGAGAGTTCAAGAGATTTTCACGACGCATGCTGGAGAATTGCGCTAGAAGTACTAGAATAACAACGCAATTCTCACACATGTGGCTTAAGGTAACATTAAACCACTGCAGTCACATGGACTATTTTAACAATGTCTTAACTACCTTTCTGGGCCTTGAAAGTTGCAATGACGTTGCTGCCTATGGCTGGTTCAGAAACCTCTCGGATTTCATAAAAAATAATTTGTTTTCAAAAGATGAAAGGTTGTACGTGTTTGGAACGACATGAGGGCGAGTAATTAATTTTTGGGTTAATCCACCCTTTAAAGCTGGTAACCAAAGGGTTGTAAACATTGTAAAAGGGTGATACTTGAGGTATTACCATTAAGTATTTAAACCAGATAGATACTGTCCTTGCAAGTTTACAAATGTCATGTGACTTTATTTTGGTCTAGGTTGAAGTTCCCATCAGACCTGGATGAGCTGAAAGAGATGGCAGAGCTGTTGCAGTTTTATAAAACAGAGTACACAGGATATGTGCTGTTACTCTTTTGCAGTGCCTACCTCTACAAGCAGGCCTTTGCCATACCCGGTTCCTCTTTTTTAGTAAGATCACCACTTTTACACAGAATACACATTATACTTGAATGTACACTTTTATCTTCCCTATTGTGTTGATGGTGAATTTAACCCGCATTCTGGTTAAACTGTTAATTTCTTCTGGAAACCTTTCTTTTTAGGGTTAAGAATGTGTTTTGGAAAGGCTGTACATATTTTGGTGACGACAATCAAAATGACCCTTACTGGTTTCCATGTGATCTGTCAAAAATCAACACAAAGTCAGGCAAAAAAACAGAAAATGTTACTTACATTTTTCAAAATATCTTCTTTTGTGTTCATCAGAAGAAAGAAATTCATACACATTTGAAACAATTTGAGGGTGTATTTGATGACATAATTTTCATTTTGAAGTGAACTATCCCTTTAAATATGAAATACATGAGAACGTAAGACTGAGAATTATAAGAATTTAAGAAGTTAAATCGAAGACTCACCTTCTGAATCCAAGAATTCTGTTTCTTCATCTACTTGAGTTTTCAGTCACAATTGTATGTTTTTGGGGGTCTTAAATACTAGACTGTTGCATCACTAACAGGAAGTTTGAGAAACCCATTTTACCCTGATAAGGCTCTGAGAACCAGACATAAGAAAAAGGCAGAGGCTATTTATTTACACCAAGTACAAATAGCAATAAATTTAATTTACACAAAGCACAAATAATGTTAGATGCTATTTATGCTTAGTTGTAATAAAATAGTCATTGCAAGTAGTCATAACTATAAAAAAAAAAAATTAAAAAAAAGGAAATTTTTGTTTGTTGTCTCTGACAAGCTGTAGTTATAGTGTTTTAGGACGGGCTATTTTTAGCGAATTACATGGGGTTAATTTGAGAGCCACCCCACCCACCACACACACACACACACACACACACACAAACGGTGTTCCCATATTATGGACACAGCTGAAGGCTTATGTACAACAATATCTTCATATCCTTTGATATTGACGTTAAATGACTTTATCCCCTCTAGAACATCTTGGCTGGGGCCTTGTTTGGGACATGGTATGGTCTTCTTCTTGCCTGTGTCCTCACCACAGTAGGTGCCACTCTCTGTTTCCTCCTGTCCCAGTCGTTTGGCAAGGAGCACATTGTGAGACTGTTCCCTGACAAGGTGGCCATGCTGCAGAAGAAGGTACATCTAGTTATCTTGTCTTCTAAGAAGCACAAAGTATGTTAATCATCACTGAATTTCATTTATATCTTTCCTAATTTTTACTTTTTTCCAGGTCGAGGAAAACCGAAGTAGCTTGTTCTTTTTTCTACTGTTCCTGAGATTCTTTCCCATGAGTCCAAACTGGTTCTTAAACATGACCTCCCCAATACTTAATATTCCTGTCACTCTTTTCTTCATGGCTGTCTTCATTGGTAAACACTGTAAAATAAAGGAACATTTCCCTTAATATTGTAGCATTTATTTGAAACATGTTTGTTTGTCTTTTAGGCCTGATGCCATACAACTTCATCTGCGTCCAGACGGGATCCATGCTGTCTCATATCTCCTCTCTGGATGACTTGTTCTCCTGGAGTGTGTTGTTGAAACTGCTCCTTATTGCTTGTGTCGCCCTGCTGCCTGGAGCTCTGATCCGTAAATACAGCACTCGGCATCTCCACCTGGACGGCCTTGAAACAAATGGACTCGGGCAAGACAAGAAGAACAGATAAGGGACAGTGTTGGGTCATTGATCTGATCCTACTTAGAGTCACTTTGTGGGTGGCTACTAGGATTCAAAATTTGTTTTTGTTTTATGTGGCCTAACATGTTTAAAAATGGAAGTGCAATTTTTACATTTTTTACTTAGCTGCTGTCTTTTTTGGCACAGGTTGTAATGTATGTGAGAGAAAGGACCTTTTAGGTGCCATTTTGGGATGTTTGTCTTTTTTGGTTTAAAAGACATGGAATCTTGCAGCAAAGTATATGTATTTGAGGTATTTAATGCAGACTGTAATTTGGATGTTGTGGAAATATCACATTAGCCTTAAAAATGTCAACTACCTCACTGAGTGGGAAAATATTTAATATTTTAACATGGTGGTTTTTTTCTATATGGAAAGACAGACATTCAATATGTGAAGTCATGTCTGGTCACCGAAAGCCTATCCAACTTGGCAGTGTTTAAATGGTATGTGCCCGTGCCATTAGCAATGCTGTGAGCAGAATGCGCTATTTTCATTTACAACATCATTCATGTGAGTAAAGCTGTTTATGATGTAATCAATCATCTGACAATAAACTCATTCCATTAGCTTCTGTCAGAACATTTAATCACACCTACACAGCGTTCATTCCAATACTGTATGCACAATTGAGGAATACTATGAACGCTGCTTTAAAATTAAAGGGAATGTTTCATCACGTTATGATTAGTGCATTTGTTTGACCCGATCATTCATACCCAAGTCCAATCCTGGTCTAGTAGGGCCATTGTCCTGCAAAATTAAGCTCCGGCCTGCCCCAACACCCTTGCCTGGAATTTTCTAGGGCTGTGTCCGAAAAAGTCACCCCTTACATAATGCTAGGGCTACAAGAGTCTCGCAACTTCACTTCTGTCTAATAAAGACTGAAGCTAAACTCTGCAGGACAGTGGCCCTCCAAGAGAAGGACTGTACACCCCTGGCCAACAAGATGAGCTTCGGACACAATCATTTTATAAAGAATTTTATTGCTCAAATCCATGTTGATCAGCAGTACAGTTCGCCTACATTTCAAAACAACATGGTTGTTAGCAAAAAAAAAAAAAAAAGATCAGCTCTCAGTCCTCCTCCCCTCTCCCTCCACGACCCACAATCCAGCTAAGGGGAGATGACAGGCAGTGCAGCAAGCCCAGTCTCTTTTTCACATCGTTCGAATGAGAATGACGTGAGAATATAGAGAGCTGCGTAGGAATGGATCTGCCGTGGAAAAGGCGCAAAGAAGTTTTCACAGCCAATGATTTGGGTTGATTTCTCATGCATCGCTCTGATTTCCTGCTCTCATCCCAAGTTAAACGGAACTAGAACGGTGTCTTCATACCGTGAGCAACAACAGCTGTTTGTGGTCTATTCTAATATCATTCGAATATCAAAAAAAAACAGAACAGCACCTACTTTAAGTCTCCATTCACCCCAACAGGGTGGCCCAAAAGCAAACAATGAAATTTCATGCCAAGACTACAAACAACAGCTAACCCTAAACTGACCTGATTCGTTCGACTTATATTAGCTATGACTTATGGCCTAACGATAATGCAAAGACCTCAATTATCCCTAGCGTTATGTTACAGGATATCGTAATGGATAGCGAGACAGCGTGATTACCAGATTACAGAGACAATAAAACAGTGTGATGTTAGTTAATGCATGGACTAATGCTTCTGTAAAGTTAAATACTGATGCACACCTGACAAAGCTTTGAAATACAAATTCTTTAAGAAAAGTTAAGAACCACTGTAGAACGTTAGATAGGTGTCTATCGACAGCGTGGCGCGTTACAGTTACAATAACACTTAAAAGTGAACCGAGTTACCATAATGCTACACAACCTGAACTCCAACAAGCAAACACCTGAGATAAAGCAGAAAGTCAATAATTCAGGGGAAATAACGCCCTCATTTGGCTACGAGCCTTCAGAGACAAGAACCATATTCAACTTCTAGAGTGAAAACGTGTTAGAAGTCACTGGATCCAACAGAAGCTTCAAGCCTTTACTAACAGAAACAGCATCGACACCTGGCGTCTGTGCTACTCTTTGTGGATAAGTGTGGACAAGTTGCTTCAGTGCGTAAAAAACGATTTACACAAGTCTATGGTAACACACCCCTAGCAAAAACGGTTACTAAAACTATGGAGCGGGACTTTTTGCAGTTTGCAGTCCACAGACAAATCGCGTGCATTACTGTATGAATGCTAAGCAACATTCTTCCATTTTCATTTGACATAGGCCTCGGTCTTTAAGAGATAACACGCATGAACAGTAGACCAGCAACAGATCCAGAGCAGATCTGAGGTGACAAAAATACCTGCATTTGTGATTTCTGTGTGATTACAATAAGCAAACAGTGACTCTGTGATTATTATTATCAAGTTAACAGAGCTGTTTTTTTTTTATTGTTTTTTATATTCATATCAAACCAGGTTTGTTTTGTGAAAGGCCCTGATAGAAAAACCTCAATTAAAAAAATTGGTCTTACTGTAATTCCTGAATTTTTACAAAATGAAAGCTGGCTTACGCTTTAGTTTAGACAATGTAACTGCTCCTGGAGAATGCTTTTAATTAAGCCATTCTACTTGATATTCATAGTCTTTTATAACCATTTGTCATTGATCTAGACATCAGTACACAGTTTCCACATTTAGAAACCCTTTAGGGCTGTTAAGTACACCTCAGTTACACATTCTATAAATTGTGATCGGTAAAAGAACGCTGTAAATACAGTTTTGAAAGCTTTAAGATCCATTCTTCTTTGTCAGATGGACCAGGAGACTTCAGACTAGTCTTTTTCTTGAACTTGTATGATTATCATAAAAAAGAAAAAGTTCAAAACTTTCAGTTTAAAAGGCATACAAAACGTTGGGAGAAAAAAAAAGGGAAATTAAAATTGGACTGAGGTACCCTGACGCCTGAGGTAGATCACAATACTGACATGCGCGCCAATCACATTCTGATCAAAGTGTTGCGTTGATTCATTGCTGTTCTTACTGTTAGTATACTAACAATATTCAGTCTATTTCCAAGAAAATAAACATTTCCCTTTAGAATAACATGGCAGTGTTCCACCTCGCTCCCCCCCCCCCCCCAAAAAAAGAGACCTTTTCTGTTTGCTTCTGATTAATAGCTCTCGTCACAAAATAGGAAAAAAATAGATTCATAAATATTTCTCTCTCTTTATATATATATCTATATACACACGCGCATACACACAAATAAAAGCTGTGCGTATTGGCAAAAACCTTGCGTCTGGAAGATGAGGCTTAGCTCTCATTGAGCGAGGGAGCTGTCTGTGATGTCATAGACCGGTGACGTTAAGGCCACGAGCTTCCATGGTCAAAAAGAAGAAGAAAATAAAGCACAAAGTGATATCCATCCTGTCGATCAGTTTCCCAAAAAACAGCCAGAGTATTGTAAAAAAAAATAAAACAATATCGCTGACCAACCAGCTCACTGAACATGACAGGGAGGTGCTCTCTCTAAAAGGCTGCTTATTGTACATTCACAGCTGTCATGCCGTTTAGAAAGCTCCCTGACAAAGAGATTTAAAGCCAAACGCGGTTGTGTGTGTGTGTGTACCACAGGTGCATCCTTGTCCCACAATCAACCTGACCCTCCATCACAATTTGAGTCACCCATATTTTCGTTTGCTTTCAGCATAGATTAAGGCAGAGTTCTTGGTGCACATTCGATTTCGCTTCTGCCCAATGCCAAGCCAGTAAAGGTGCGCTTTCTTTCAGACGCTGGTGCTTGCTTCAGATTTTTTCATACCCCCTAAAGCAAACAAGGGGTGGTAACACCTAATCCACATCTACAACATACCTACTTCGTCTCGTAACGACTACCGCCAAAGGAGTGTGGCAGCGATGAAATAACAAAATGCAGAGGCTGCAAAAACACTGGCGTTAAAATAAAATTGGAGTGTAAGAGCTGGATAGAAATAAGAATACACGAAAAGCTAAAAAATGAAAGATATGCACAGTAAGAAAATGTTTCAATGTTTGCATCCGTTGGCACACACAGGCTTAAGTAACAAGGATCCGTTGGGTTGGATGATGCGTCCTGAAATGCAAACAAGCTAAGATATGAGTAAAAGTTCTGTCCTTTACATTTCCCAACATTCTCATCCCATCATCACAGAAATTAGAAAAACGTTAATGTTATGCTTACGCAACCGCATATGTGCACTAATCGCCCGCTTGCTGGCTTGTGCAAAACAAGAAGAATCATACTTCTGCTTCAAAAAACAGTATATTTGTTCTAGTGTACTGGTGACAATACTGCTGAGGATCTCTGAAATCGCAATCTGAGCATAAAAAAAAACAAAACAAAAAAACAAAATTCGGTCGCCAACTGCTAGTGTACACCCACCCTTACCTACCCCCCCAAAAAAAAACAACAGCCACACAACTCAGTCAAAATGCATCAGTGTACACGTGTTAATGGAGCGCCTTACCTTTGTTAACCCTATGTTAAGCCTAAATTAAGAAGTTTCGAAAGAAATTGTTACTTGGGGCGACCGTGATGTGTCCCGTCCTGATAGCAGACGCCCCATGCCTATTCGTCTCCCAGTCAGGGTGTGTTTGAACAATAAAAGGAACGCTTGTCTTCTTTGCACTTCCTTCCTTCCTCCCCTCCCTCCCTAAGCTGGCAGTGCACTCAGAGCCCCATCTGCCTGTGGCTCCTTCATCTCCCCTAGAAAGAAGTTCTTTGGTTTTGATCCCGTGGCTGCTGGTCTGCCCGGCCGGTCCCCTGCATCCGGTCTGGTCTGATTCCAGTTGGGAGGGCTACATTCATTGGCAGGTGCCCGCTGGGGCTGCCTTGATGGTCACTTGGAGCGCTGTGTCACGGGGGTGCCTTGCTGGTGCTTCTGTTCCTGTTGTTTCACCTGCTGGATGATCTCCCTGATTTTCCTCTGTGCAGTCTGTGGGACCAGAAGAGATCATGTTTATTGTGCTAAATGTTTGGTTCCACTTCGGTTTCAATAGGAGAGAGGCGACTGCTTGAAGGTGGCACCAGAAGACATCATGATTTCAAGTTTTTGTCATTGACCAATAAGAGGTGATTTTATTTACACCCAATTCAACAGCATTTAGCTTTTACGTGGTCAAGGAACAAAATTAAGTAAACCACACTATAATTCAAAAGTTTTGGGTCGGTAAGGTTTTTTTTTTTCTGAAGTCTCTTCTGATCACAAAGGCTGCATTTATTTGATCAAAAATAGAGTAAAAACAGTAAAGTTGTGAAATATTATTATAATTTCTATAAACTGTTAATCTATTTTAATATATTTTAAAATGTAATATATTCCTGTGATGAACATTACTTAATCATAATATGCTGATCTGCTGCTCAAGAAACATTTCTTATTATTATCAATGATGAAAACAGTTGTGCAGATTAATATTTTTATGGAAACTGAGATAAAAAAAAAAGTGGAACTCTTTTATAAATGTGAAGAAGCCTTTATTTTAAATAAAAATGTTTGTAATAATTAAAAATGTGTTTACTCTGACTTTTAATACATTTTATCTGTCCTTGATGAATAAAAGTATTTAAGCAATCCTGCATTTCATGGATATATTTAAATACAGATAAATCTCTAAATTGATCGACTCAGTCGTATCGCTCAGCCCTACTCTGCGCCTCCTCTGACATGCTCTCCCGCCCCACGCTTAGAATAGAGCATAGTTTTCAGAACTGTTTTCAGATTTAAGATCCATTACTAAAGCAGTACATACTAGAGCTGTAAATTTCAGCCCTTAAGAACAAAACAACACAAGGTTTCTGTTAAATATCATGTATAATTTACCTGGTTGGCAAAGAAATGCCCACTGATTTTGACAAAGACCTCATCGTTCTCGTCTGGCGTTTGGTCCCGTGGCACTATGACCTCTGCACTGGTTAGGTTCTGCAGCTCGTTAACCTAAAAGAGGTTCAGAGAAACAAGCTGATGACATCACTACCTAACAGTCATAATGCCAGTTGGGTCAAAGTGTGCCAATGTTACGTGTCAATCAGATTTATAAAAGAACAAGCAGCACATTTCCAGTTGCTCATAGGTACATGACATACTTTAAGACCAATGTGCTGTTAAAGCCTTGCCTTGGGTACCAAATGCAACATCTATCTACTCTACAAATGATGCCCCGGTGGCTGGAGCCCCCATGAATAGAGACAAATATTTACTAGAAGCAAAATGTACAGTTCCTGAAACGCATAACCCTGACTAAAACAGGTCACAGTGATTTGGATCAGCCTGCTCTCTTCAAAGCCTTTGACCGAAATGTAACAGTTATATAACATAATAACCAAACTTAATATTTTTTCCCCCTTTAAATAGCTTGAAAAAAGCTTTCGTATACTTTTTCAGTCCTTCGGCACAGTAAATTACTTGGAAAAATTAGTCAGGTACATATAAAACGATTATCAAAAACAATAACATATTCATTATTTGCTCTGGTGGCGTATGTGAGCTCTCTCAGGAACTATTCACACCACATTAACTTTGATTAATCAACAATGTTCCCATTCTTTAACAGTAAACATTTAATTGTTTTTGGAAAAGCTATTTGAAATGTTTTATGGATTCTCGGAATCACTATTTACTACTGCAAACACATTTTGACTCATTCATTTATAATGGTGCATAATGAAAGGAATATTGACTAGTGATGAGCAAACAGCTGTGATGGTATGTGTTACACAACAACTTGTTGGAATCAGAATACTATATTAAGTCTGGCATATTACTCAAGCTCAGAGTGAATAGGGATTTCAGACAGAGATAAATAAATAAACCCTATTGAACAGTCCGTTTCCCCCATTGTAATTTTTTTTAATTACATTTTGTAATAAAATTAAATGGAGCCAGTGCGACTGAGGACAAAGGTGCAGCCGACGGGAAGGCAGAGCCCAGTGGAGCAAAAGGGATGGAGGGCAGAGGTGCAACCAATAGCCAGGAACCCTGCGTTGGAGCCAGGGTGACATCTAACCAAGGTGAAGATCCATGCCTTCAGGTTCCACAAGCATTCCCTCTGGGATGAGCTTTGCTGCAGTCTCGCACACCTCAGACGTGGCGTGGGGCGGAATAAGACTCAGTAGGGCTCACTGGCACGGCTCAGACTGGCGATGTAAAAAACGCAGAGCAAGCAGTCTGGATAGTAATTTAGCCATGCCAACTCCAAAAAGTCCCTGGTGTGTGACTCCACCCACAAAGAGCAAACTGCAGGTAAGTCCATGGTGATAGGAAGAATGGGGGAAAAATAGGGTGTAAAAAAACCCTACTTAAATAAACTATCGATTCTGCACGAAGATAAAGGAGATCAACAAATACGGTCTTTAATCCAATAAATTCAAGAGGCAAGGAAGCAATAGTGCAACAATAGTACAACCACGTAAAACACTGACGAGACAGGACCAAGAACTGAACAAAACAGAGTTTTTATGTCAGACGAGGGAACACCAGGGGCTGGTTGCATAAATGGTTAAGACTAGTCTTACAACTTAGTCATCACATTTTCTTTAAGACTGTTAATAACTGTTTCAAGTCAGTTATATAAAAACGTAGATTGGTCTAATTTTATACTAGAAAGTAAGACTGATTCCCCCTTGATTCAACACTTGTTGGTCATACTAGTATTTAAGACACAGTCAACATAAGGGTCATATTTGTGCAACCAGCCCAAGGTGAACAGAATGAAACGGACTGAGAAACAAGGTCACAGGAAAACAGAACTAAAACACTAAACAGAACACAATCCTGATACATGAATGAGTCCTACTATGTTATATATGGCGCATCACTGAACGTTTCTGATCTTATTTAACAGTTTTATATTTCACTGTATTCTCACCGTTTTGCCGCCTTTCCCGATGACCCTCCCAGCTGCTGAAGAGGGCACTTTTATATGTGTCTCCAGCTTCACTTCCTCTTTTGCAGTAAAGAAATTCTCTTCTTTCAGCTTCCCAAATATCCTGCCCTGGGCCTGGGATAGGGTACAACAGTGCTAAAGGCCTTTACATTTCTTTTCAACCATCACTCACATGTTCAATCATTCATTCATTCCATTGCACCAAGACTGAATGTAACTAACTGTACTGGGCTTTTAAGTGTGTGTTATATTGCTTTACCTTAAACTGAGCTTCTGGTGGGCCAGTGATGATGACCATCCTCTGAGTGACGTCAGGACTCTCTGCAGGTGCGATCTGAACATGAATAACAACAGGAACAAGAACAACATACCTTCAACAGATGAGCTCAGAGGAGACTTGCCACAAATGCTGTTGACAGATTAATTTAACCTTTCATGGGGTCAATTTATTATCAAATAATCTGCTTTAACCAGCAAAACTGATCGTTCGATCTTGGAGGATTTAAAGGTCCCTTGAAAGTGAAGTTGCTCAAAAAAAAAAAAAAAAAAAAATTCAGGAAAACTAAGTTCATTTCACTCGTCTGTGGAAATTAACAAAGTAGAATACAACATGGGAAAACAAAAGAAAGCTAAACTAAAGGACTGAAGAAAAGATCTTGTGGAGGAAATTGAAGAGGGTTGAAGAGATGGATGAAGAGAGGAGTCCAAGAGTTGAAGAAGGAAGAGATGAAGAGCTGAAGACGAGGAGGAACTGGCCTTCCATCGTTCACACTTCACACCCCCTTTGGGGTGAACGGCCAATCACCTTCGAGAGTTGTGAGTGGGAAGATGTTCCTTTGTCTTGTCAGGACGGCCTAATTTGCATGTTCTCTTATGAGAGGATCTCTCGTATTGCGTAAGCTAGCTGAGATATTGAAGCCAAAAACGATCCTTAATTTTGTATCTATTGTCAACGCAGTGCAGCAGCTGCCAGACCTAGGTGGTCTATCTAGCGAGCTCATAGGCTGCCCTGCGGCAACTGCAGCAGCCTATCAGTGAACCTGGCGTAATGTCACACCCAATGAGAGGCGCCCACGCCCTAATGGCATCAGAGGCCACCAAAATGGGCGTGGCTTTGGTGTATATAAGCGAGATTCAGAGGCTGCTTCCCTGGTTTTCATCAACTGAATCGAAGTCGCTCATGGCGTGAGCACGGCCGGTTACTCAATACTTGTTCCCTCTTCTAGAGAGAACCGAGGTTACGTTAGGGAACCGATACGTTCTCTTACGAGAGGTTCTCTCGTATTGCGTAAGCTAGCTTGCATTAATATAGACCTCAACAACGGACGATTGACTGGGACGTCGATACACAACGCCGATAGATTGAAATTCGAATGAAGATTCGCGCAGCGCGTCGTCCATGCATATCATCAAAATGTCCATAAAACAAAACTTCTGCCGGTCAAAGTTGACCAGCACCATTTTTTTCTAGCGGAAACTCTGACAGGAACATATCATATACAGTTGGTAATGGCTCATATTCTGAGTTTAATGTAAAAGTATGTGTGTGTGCATGAAGAAAGGAGCTTTCTCTTCGATGACCTGGCATTCCTTTCTCCGCAGGAAGGAGGCGTTAAGGAGATACTGATCTCTTTGAGGCTGGGGCGAGTTCTATTTTATTGATGTTGGGGTAATATAAACACTCTCATGCCGTAAAGGTGTCAACGGGCAATTTTAACGCAAACTCTAAGGTGCCAGGCCAGAGTTACGGATAAGAGTCAAAGGGGTTAAAAGCATTTTCACATGTAGAATTGAATGAGTCATCCTGACACAGTCCAGATACGCTACACAAGGAATCTTCATTTCATTCTGATGTGACATGACAGCGGAAGCATTTAAGCAGGCAGGAACTCCTACCTTAATTGAGGCTCCTGCGAATCGTGCCAGTTGTTTAATATGTTGACCCTTCTTGCCAATAATAGCACCGACAGCCTGAGTTGGGATAAAGAGATAGACCACCTCCTGTTCAGGAGCCTGCAGTGGAGAGGGCAGAAGAAACATGCAACATATTACACCTCTAATTCAACTTGATGCTGTAAATCAGGGATTCCTCTAAAATCCACCCGAGTATATGATCCTTTTACAGAAGTGGTTCGTAAAGAAGGTCCATGTGTCTGTTTACTCCAATGTTACTGAACTATACCTGATACTGCTCAGTTCAGCACAGGGGTTGAGCTCTGAATGTTAACACAGGTTTGAACGAAAGCAAAAACACTCAATCTATCACGAAAGTGAGAACACAAACCACTTATCTGTTTCTAAGGCCCTTTTTACACCTGTTATTAAGATGTGAAAAAAGCATTTGACCGGATTGGTTTCGTAGCGTAAGCGCTCTTGTGGTCAAATGAGTCGAACAGCCACAAAAGACCACCTACTCTCTGCCTACTGACCTAATGCATAAACATTATGGGAAGAGCACAAGCCAGACAGACAGGATTCAAACTTTGTCAGCTGAAGAGCTAATTTTAGTTTGACGACTTTCTGGCCGTGTTCAAATATACATTTTGTGAGCTAATTTCATCTATTTGATTAAAAGAAATCAAATAAGAAGAAAAAACAAAGATTAAATTAATTAATTAATTAATCTTCCTCCCTTAGAAGAAATCAGGACCTGGTGAAAGTGGACAAAATAGACGGATTAAAACACCAGGTGTAAACGAGAGAGTGTCCCTCGTCTACTTGTGATCCGATCCCTCTGGGGTCAGCAAACGGGCCGGCGCATTTTGCTTGATTTTTTACAATAAAAATATAACATTGTGCTTTTGTAAAATAAAGAAAATAAACAGGGTGTGCTTTCTGGCTCTCAATCTCCGTGAACTTTTTTGGAGCACGTCTCTAAACTAAAACAAAACTCAGCGAATACTATTCACCCAGGCATGACATATACAGTGTATCTTTATATTTTGTATCAGTGTATCTTTTAAATGATCTGATTCAAAACAAAAACTAATTTTCTGTTTAATTTGTATAAAACCAACAAGATGTCTCAAACGGTTGCTCATTATTTTTTTTTTTATTTGACCACGACCACGTGTGCAAAAGAGATTGATATGCAAATCTCCACAGAGGAGCGCGCATATGGTCGTTACCTAAAAAACAATGCACCAAACTTCAGTCCTCTACTTTTCGTCGAGTTTGGAAGACACGCAGTGGGCTTACATTGGATTTACCTCAGAAGAAGAAGAACGTGATTTGAAGACAAGAAAAATGTAAGGTAAGAAATGTATTAGTTAGTGGTATTGTTACATAAACTTAACATTCCAGATGATCTGCTGCTAAACTAAAATTTATGAAATCGACAGAAACATCAAAATATGAACTATTGCCTACACAAGCAGGAAATGTATACATGTACGACACAAGGATGTTTTTATGTTTGATAATAAAACACAGCATGATGTTAGGCTAGTATCAATATTTACTCTAATATGGTGAATATTATAATGTTTAGAACCATGTTTACTGTTAAATACCAGGTTTGTAATGAATGGAAACATTTGAAGATAAGCTAGAGTATCAATATATGCAATTATAAAAACAAAATTGGTTGGTAGTATTTTTTGTGGCTGGAACACTATCCACCAATTATAATTTAAAAGCAGAACTATCTATTTTACGGGCCAGTTTCAGTTCCAGTACTTACTGTGTGCTGGTGAGAGACGGCACTAGCAGGCGGAACACCGTACAGCCCACCCAGCTGTGATGAGTGACCCTGGAACGGATGAGATGGGTCAATTTACAAATAGTTTATATCTCAAGAATATTTCACTGGCTCTCATTTATTACACATGTAAATACTGAGAAAAAAATTCATAAGTCACTCTTCATAAGTTTTTTTTTTTTTTTAAAAACTGAGAAAAAAAGAACTGCCAACACTCATTCAGAAACCTGAATGATTAATAAACAAAAACAAATTTACTGTAAGCAAATAACTGCACCAAAAAAAAAACAGTTGTAATAACTTATAATAAATGACTATTCAAGTTTTACAGTCCTACTGAGGATGATAAAAACTAGCTAACACTCATTCAATAATGAGTGCCTTCTCACACACCCACACACTCATTCTACCTTCATTAGTTCATCCATGAGCCATAAGCTGTCCTGTCTGACTCATCACTAAATATGAAGGGGAATCCTGTAGCACGCTAACCGAACGGAAGGATTACACAACTCAACAATGACTAGATGCGTTCTAAGGCGAGTACTCACTGAGAAAGTGACGATGTTTACAATGTGATCGGGAGGCTAAACATCAGGATAGTTTACCATTTAGATTAGAATTCTGATTAAAGTCCCAAAAAGGGACTTTAAATTAAAGTTTAATTCCTGAAATTGAACTGAGGTAGAAAACAGGATGTAGTCATTCAAATTTAACAATGTTAATGGACTGAAATTGTAACTTGAGTATAAATTCCCCATTAAAAATGTTATCATACACAACATAAGGGTATTTCCAGAAATTCATGATATTTATAACAACTGTTTTAAAGTGCAACATACACAAATTTGTATTGATTTAAAATCTGTTTTGATGTTTGATCCATTCTGACAATTTAACTTAATTAGAGTCTTAATGTGTCTAATTACTTAAATAATTAGTACATATTAATTATATAATTATTTATATTTTGTTGCAAAATGTGTGTTGGAATAATGAAATTCCTTGTTGGACAACATTGCATTTCTGTGAATCACAATGCAGTAATTGTTTCCTGTTATTCTCATTCATATTTAATTTTGAACATTCTGTGGTGCGAGTCCAATTGTTAAAATCTGAATTTTGCAGAGCTAAATGTAATGCATTCCTGTGGTTGAAACATCCACATATGTAGTCGTTATAATAAAACTGTGGTTTGCACTCACAAGAAAAGGGTTATAGCCAGTCGGGGGTATGGGTGGGACGCCTCTGGGCCCAGCAGCTGGTGGCAATACAGACAGACCGGTTGAAAAGATGCCCAGTGCACTCAGGCTTAACCCAGGGATAAGGTTGGTTTGTTGCTGCAAGACAAAGAAATAACATCATGGATTATAAATGCTTACTCAGTTCATGAACACAAGCAATCATGTTTTTTTTTTTTTTTTGATAATAACTCTAATTTGAGATTAGATCTCTCAGTTTCCATGTATTTCTGAGCTGTATGAACAGTCTTAACAGTGAATATGAATGTGAATATTTGTCATAACATCTTGCAATATCGTTACTGTCACGCTAGGTGGCTCCATCGACCCGGTGCATCATTTTATGTGGTAAGCGCGTTTAGATAAGTTTGTATGCTGTTTAGTCTTGACAGAGATATGCTTGATTTTTCACTTTCTGTCTGATTCATCTGCAGTGCCTCTTTCATTCAAAACGGAATTAAGTTTACACGGTTCAACTAAAAGACAGTTACAAAATAAATGTACCGCAAAACAAATGACTCACTAAAGATGAAAGGGGTCCTCGGATCATGCGACGGTGTAAACTAGAACGGTGATCCTATTGTTACAGTATTTGCTCTGCCTATGGCTTCACCTCCCTCAGGCACAGGCAGTGACGTCATGTGTGTAAACAGGGAGAATGGTGTACATGTGCGTGCATGTCTGTGTGAACGGCTGTTGACAGGATGCGTTCTCCTTATGCACAGCAGGGAATGAACTGACTCAAGGCTGTTTCCTATAAACACAGTGAATAATTGAACACAACCAAACAGACGAGCCGTCTAAAAGCCTTATCGACTACAGGACCAAGTTTGTCACATTATAACAGCATTTTTATGTAAAACAGAATTTAAGTTAAATCTGAAAAATGTCATATTGATTATAACATCAAAGACAGTGGATTAAAATGAAGTGTGAAAATCCTGTCATCAAAACCGCGAACACTTACGTTAATAGCAGCAATGTCATTCTCATAGGCTTCCCTCAGCTTCCTCATGATCTCCACTTCAGCCCTACAACAGGCCTCGATACTCCCTTTCACTATAATGGTTCTCTCTGGATTATAAATAGTTAAATCTTGTAAACTGTGGGAAGAATGGACCAAGAAAGAGAAAAGCAGATTAAAATTACGGGTACATATTTAAGAAACACACAGTTCCTCCTGTCAGATTGGAGCAGTGTTTGAATTGAGGGAATTCTTAGTGATTAACTATTATATTTTGATCATATGATGTGACCACATTGGTATTGACTAATATTACAATGTTTTTAGAAATATTACTTCAGTCTGAATCATGTGTAAATATCTTTTCTATTATTATTATTATTATTAGAAGTAGAAGTAGTAGTAGTATTGTAACACTTCACAAAAAGTTTTCATTTGTTACCATTAGTAAACTACATTATTTAACATAAACTAACAATTATTACAACAGATTCCGTTCACCTGATCTGTTAATTATCTTATTAGCTCTCCCGTGTTATCTAAGCCCTGTTTCCAGAGTTCATTGTTCGGTTCTTAACTACTTGATTTGAAAAAGGGGAAATATTTAGGGGGATATTTATTATCATCATTATTATCAACATCATGTCAATTAGCAACATAAGAAGGAACAAAACTTTACTCTGCTACTTTGCTTATTTAAAAAATAGTATTATTAAATCGCATTAGTATTGTGCTCTTCTCTGATTCCACCTGGAAGGAAGTGGGATTCTATGTAGAGAGCAAGTTATTTTAATTTGTATTGATGAGCACTGGCAAATAAGGCTGTTTTTTACAGGGAAAGCTAAGCAATGACGTTGGGAGTGATGGTTAGGTTTTAATTGGGTGACTCACTTCCTAAGCTATCTGTGTGACCAGCGCACACTTTATTTCTGGCAAATACTTAAAACCACCTGTACACTGATGCTCTGCACCAGGTCCTAGCACTCAGCAGCCCATTATAAGGTCACAATACATGTTCAGGTCATGTTATGATCAATATCTTGACAACAAAACAGCATTACCTATCAAAACAAGAGCTACAGCTTTACTTTATTTTTGAATAACAGCCACAAAAGCAAAATAATTATGAGCTTCCGTTGTTTTCACCTGTTGAAAGCCATCAAACGTAACAGACACTCACGAGGAGATGGTTATCTTGGTCTCTGTATCTTCTTCAATCTTCTTCAGGTTTCTGCCCTCCTTCCCGATCAGTCTTCCAACCAGACTGTTGTGGGCCAGGATCTTCATAGGAATATCCTCAGTCCTACAAAAGCAAAAACACAAGTTGACAATTACAAAGACGCATTTAAAGAACACCGTAAAATAACAACAGACTTCGGAAGATTCAGACTTACACTTTTGTGTCATCAGCCTCTTTCTGCATGATGTCCATGATCATACGGCACGCGGCGGAGCAGCCCTCAGGAGTCGAATGGATGGTGATGGGCTTCTCTGCCGCTCCTGCGTTCTCCTTACGATGGATGTCCACCCTAACAGGACAGGAATATGACCATTCAGCAGCGATCAAACTAGGCTATGTGAAAAGTTGTCACTGTAAAACAAGCAGGTATTTTTAATCAACGTGAATTGATGGTCACAGCCAGATTTGATTAATAAATGTGACATTTAATGTCCAAAATATACTGACGATTTAATCAATGGATAGTACACAGTGTATGTGTACTAATATCATATATTATCTAAATTTGTATTTAAGCAATTCTATGTTACATTTTTTTTTAAAAAAATGTATTAAATTATAGAATTATAAAAAGTTCTATATTGTAAAATTTGGAGACAGCAAGATTTTTGTACTATCGAAAGAAATTACGGGCTAGATGTACTAACAGCTTGCGCCAGCGCAAACACTCTTTTGCCGTTAAAATAATACTGTCAGGATTTACTAAAGACACGTAGTGAAAAAATAGCACTAAAAGGCGTAGATAGTCATTTTAGCGTCTCAGCTTATTGTATATGCATTTGTAGGAGTTTCCCTTTCAGACACAAAATTTATAAGAGGAGAGTATTTAAATGAATCACACAAAATGATTTACTAAGGTTTACGCTAGTCAATTTACAGGTATTTGCATCCAGCTGCGTCTGTGTTCTGTAATTTGTTTGTCATAATAAGTAGATCATGCGCAGAACTTTTTCCGCTTTCCGAAAGAAGAATTAAATTGATCAAATGTGAGAGTAACAGCATTTATTTGAAATAGAAATATTTTTTTACATTATAAATGTTGTTCTTTTTAACTTAATATTCACCAAACAATCTTGGGGAAAAAAATCCCCCAAAAATATTAAGCAGCAAAACGTGGATAATAAGAAATGCTTCTTTAGCAGAAAATCAGCATATTAGAATGATTTCTGAAGGATCATGTGACACTAAGACTGGAGTAATGATGCTGAAAATTAATTTAATCACAGGGATAAATTAGACTTTTAAAATATATTCAAATAAAAAATAGTTCATTTAAATTGTGTGTGTATATATATATATATATATATATATAATTCAATAGTACCAGACCTAAAGTTTTGAACAGTAGTGTATATCACAATTGTAATTAATAAATGTATTATATAATTAGAAAAATAATAATTGTAGTTATATTAATTGAGGTCCAAAATGTACTCTAATTAACCACATCAATACATCCCACTCACTTAGACTGTGTCTGTTTGGTGATGTTTTTGATTGTGAGACCCTCCTTGCCAATGATGGCTCCCACAAACTGTGTGGGCACCAGCATGCGCAGGGGGAATTCTTGCTGTTTCTGTCGGAGCCCCAGGGAGCCTCCAGAGGTCCCGGGCTGGGAGTCCTGTTCTCGTGATGTCCTTCCACCCCGGCGATTCCGGGTTGCAGGCAGGGGTGGAGCAGCTTCCATATCCAAAATATAAGACACTTTAAAGGAGTAATCCTCACACTTCTGTCCTGTTAACTTCTCTACAGCACTGAAGACAAGCACAGAGAAAATTATCAATAGAATACAATGACAGTATAAAGATGGAGAGTTTTGGCATTTTTTAAATAAAAAAAATCAGGGCTGGCATTGGCAGTATGATGGATGGAAAATACCCAGTGACAGTTGTGTCAACCAGTGGAGGTTCTGCGATGAGGTTCAACTTTTGTGCTAATACGCATTTAGTAGGGCTGGGGTAAACGATTATTAACTAAACGATTAGTTGGGCGATTATTTTATCGATTAGTCGACTAATCTAATGACTAATTGGACGACTAATATAAAGAATATTTTTTCTGCTGCTCAATTAATAAAAAAACAATATCTCAAATAAATACTAGCATACTGAATCAAGATACTATAAGCTGGCTAACGTTAGTCTAATGTTATGTATTTGAACACCATCATAACTCTACAACCGCCAAAACCGTGTTCTTACATTTTTTATCATAGGGAATGTTTAAATATTAATATCAGCTGAGGAGGGAAACGGAGTCGGAGGCGGAGTTCACCTACTGATCAGAGCGCGTGCTGACACGGAGTTAAAGCCTGTTTTATACTCGACACGTCCACACGAGCGCGAATGTGCGCACGGCAAAAATGACCCGTTGGGTGCGCAAGACCAGGAAGACTGTGGCTGGCTGTGTGTATGCCTTTTTTTTTTTAACAACGCGCCCGGCGCCACGTCCGGGAACAACTTCAAGCCGAATCTGCTCGAGCTTGTACGTCTCACCACACCGGCACCCAGTTTGCGCGTCTAAATTGCAATTTTTTTTCTTAAGGGTTTGTTTACTGTGTGTGATTCATTTAATGGATAGCACATTCACTTCTAGTTGTCTTCGTCCTCTATTCTGCAATGTTTCGGTCTCCCACGTGTGTGTGGCAAGCTGTACCGCCGGGAACATGCAAAAAATAAATAAATAAAGAAGCGTCGATGCAAAAAATATGACGTCGACGCAATTTTGACGTCGAATCATCGACGTCATCGACGCGCCGCTACAGCACTAGCATTTAGATTTACGCATTTAGATTTATCTGCTATTTTACAATGGTGTCAAAAATGGCTCATCGTTTATAATCTATGACAGTTTTGAGTGTTTTAAACTCATGTTGCATAATAATGTGTAGCAGTTTTTGCACTACTAATTTCAGACTTATTATTTTTTCGCAAAACAAAAAAACAGATGTCTCTCTAATTAAATTAGCATAAATTTCACAAAATTAAACTACACAGACAATACTAATTGATTATGTAATATATAAAACATTTTAGGATACATTTTTTTAGGAAAAAAGTTTATATATTTACACCATTAATGAGACAAAATATTGAATTATGAGTAATTTTATATCTCAATAGTGGTGTATGTTATGAGGAAATAGTTATTTTGCTGAGTACTTTAAATATTTAAATATGTCCATTAAATTAAGATGACATTATTATGTGTTTAAGCTTATATATTTCATTAAATGTATACAATTATACATATTTTATATTAAAAAAATATTACATAATTTAAATATTATTAAACAAAATTTGCAGATATTACAACGAAACTTTGACATACCATTACCATAATCAATTTATTTATAGTCTTAAATATGATTTTTGTCATATCCCTATGGATAATAAATAATAATAAAAAAACTTACATTTTAGCCTCCTCTTTTGTTGAGTACGTCACATTCACCACTGCTGTTTCTGTATCAGTGTTAACTGCAAAAAGAAATAAAATCAGGTGAGAGAGGGAGTGAGAAGTCAATATTTAAAAACAAAGAGCTTGGTCATATTCATAAGCATATGAGACTGCAAGCTTTTGTATGAGATGCATTCAGACAAACAAATGCAGCTTTACACTAGTGTTGTGAAGAGCCACTCGTGTGTCTGCATGTTAAATGAGGATTACTGTGCCATGGCCACATGTGTACTTCACAAGAGAAACACAAAGCAACCCTGACGTCCATGGATCAAAGCTCTGTGCACTTCAAGAGTTTATGCTGCTATACACTTTCAACTGCCAACTATAGCACTTACAACTCCGGACCTTATAAAACAGTGGTTCTCATTTATTATAATTTTTATAATTGTGTGTGTGTGTGTGTGTATATATATATATATATATATATATATATATATACACACACAATTTATATAATATATAAATTATAATAAATTTGCTTTTAATGATCCTGATGAATCATCATAAATGCATGCAAATCCTACCCAGCTAACACACTAAGTACAAGTTATGGAATTGACTGGTTCTTTCTGGTAATATCATGACATTTTAATTGGCAATGTAACTACGACATTGCATGACAGCTTGAAAATTATTTTGCTCTTTTTATATAGTGAAGTGATATAAAGCACACAGCGTGAGTCCCGGCTCACTGACCTTTCCCAATCCCGCCCCTCTCTCTCTCTCCCACCTCACTTCCTGTCCACTCTATACTATCCTATAATAATAAAGGTAAAAATCGCCAAAATGAAATCTTTGAAAAAATAAATAAATAAATAAATAAAATAAGTCTTGATTCAGGAAAAACATATTGTTGTTTCTTTGACCTCACACCCTCCAACCCAACAGTTGAGAAACGTTGAGTAACGCTGTGTTAAAAGGTCAAGCTGTATTATACTTTCTGAAGAATGTGAAATGGGATTAAATTAAATCTGTTTCAAATTACAAGAATTCCTTAGGTCATTGCAATAATTACAGACAGAAACCACTGCAGAGACAATGTGTGTGTGTATGTGTATGGTATTTTTAAGAGGAAAGCCTGCCTTTTTATTGATTAGATGGAGTTATGTGTCTAGAGAACTAGACAGTCTGTCTGAAGGAAGTTGAGTGGGATGGCTGGGCAGAAATCCAGAGCTTCACACATGAAGAGAACCACAAAGCCTCACTATAATGCAGCTCAAGCGATCAATCTCAGAACCAATGAGTGTCACCAATGAAGACACATCAATAGATCTTAAGAAAGAATGACGAGAAATAGCACTGTCCTCATATCATGCCGACATCATATTCGTTTCATAGGATGAGTGCCTGCACAATGGGACTGTTTGAATGGGATTCCTTTTCTAAACAATGGTGGAGTTACAATTATTATTCAGGATAATGACAAAAACACTGAAGAAAAAAGAACATAAAAAATCTTTAATTTACCTCTTCTTTTACAAGCATTTTTAATTTCTGTCTTATATTTTTTAAGGCCATAGAGTATAAGATATCAGAAGGATAAGCTCTCTGATACTTACTGCTTCATATGTGATTATTATATAAAATATGACAAACTCTCAGATAATTTAACTATTTACAAGGTAAAATCAGTTGAGATGTAACATGTTCCCAAAAACTTAATACCTGAAAAAACTAAAAACTTAATACCTGAAAACACACACATTACAGCTAGAGCCTGGCCACACTCTCACACTTCAATCCACACACTGGTGTGCCATCAAACCACTCATTTCAGCCATAGTGCTCATCCCTCTCTCATGCACTGTCTGTCTGAGACTTCCTATCAATCACACCTTTCTCTATTGGGAAAGACGATTACAAAACCTCACAACTGAGACGCCTCCACTGGCAGCAAGTGTTGATGGGATTTAAGTTTGGATAACGTGTGATCTAAATGCATGCACACATTGACTCTGTAGTCCATAGTCCGTTTACAATTTAAATTCATCCACAAACACAGGTACATCAGCAAGTGTGCTATTTGACAAAGTCCCCAATATAAAAGATATAAAGACTAATGTTTAATGAGCAGGGAAGAGTGTCTTAGCATTTGTCCTCTAGTCACAGCCAATACCATCCTAAATAGCCTGTGAGTAGCACTTCATCATTTCATTTTGTCCAAATGACAGAAAAAAATGAGCGCTTACACAACTACAATAAATTGTAAGTTGATGAAAACGCATTGTGGTCCAGATGCTGGTTCTAATGACAGACAAAACATGTATGTCCAAATTCTCCGAAATTTGCAGGTCAAAAATGTAACCTTGTAACCTCGCAATTTTAACTTGATTTTGGTAAAATGTGACCCTGAACCAAAAAAAAAAAAAACAGTCACATGGGTAAGTTTTTCCCATTAATGTATGGTTTGTTAGGATAGGACAATATTTGTCTGAGATAAAACTATTTGAAAATCTGGAAAATGAGGGTGTAAAAAAATAGAAACATTGAGAAAATTGCCTTAAAGAGTTGTGCTGCATTCACACTCACAAAAATAAATGTTTTATACATTTACGGTTGGAAATTTACTAAATATCTTCATGGAACATGATCTTTACTTAATAGCCATATGATTTTTGGCATAAAAATAAAAAGCGATAATTTTGACCCACACAATGTATTGTTGGCTATTACCACAAATATAACCATGCTACTTCTTTGTGATCCAGGGTCACAAAAGTTAATAAAATAATGAAACATGCAAAAGTCTGTCTGACCATATAGAAAGCAACAATATCAACTTTGACAACACAGTGTTTAATTATTTAAAAATAAAATTGTGGGGTTTTTTTCTTGAAAAGTAATGGGTTATAAAAGAAAGTGCATTTTTATATGCTTTAACTAGATAGTAGGGATGTCAAAAGTAAATACTTTATAAAATAATTTGCGTGCATGCTCTGCTTATGCTTCATGGTAATACAGCTTTTCAAATTCACATTTTTTGTGTGAATGTGAAAAGACCATTTTCTAGTGTCGTAAATATGAATATTCAAATATTTAATAAAACAATTCTGCACATGTCACTGTTTAAATGAAATATTTACATTCATATTAAATAATAAAGTGAACGTGTTCAATAGGATAATACATTTGACAACCTTAATAGTCACCATTTTCTTTCCTAAGTTCTTAAGTATTTTTTAAAAACTATTTGTCTTCACTATGCTTAATTTAAATGGTCCTCATTAAAAGATTTTAAAAAATAATAAATAAATAAAAAAATCTAGAAGATCATACAAACAGCAAGCATGGTAATTACAAAATAATTTACATACATTTTTTAGATGGAATACAGCATTGCACTGCTTGAAATATCAACTAACCAAACAGAAAATACAATTTAAAGTCTTTACCTTGTTCCACATTTTCTACAGTACCATACTGAGCTAACAGGCTGTCCAAAACCTGCAACGAGAAGAGCACAATCAGAAAAACATCTAAACATATAATAAACTGTTTTTAGATAGAATACTAGAAAATATGAGAGTTGGAAAATAAAAGAAATGCTTCACTCCAAAATTAAAATCAAATCAAAATCTGCTATAATTTAAGAATACTTTTGCATAGACTGCAGTTCAAAAGTTTGGGGTAGGTAAGATTTATAATGTTTTTGAAAGACAGCAACAACAACAACTTTTCTGTTATAATATGTTTTAAAACTGTATTACTGTAAAGGTAAATCTGAATTTGCAGAATCATTACTCATCTTAAACATTTCTTTTTGTTAACAATGTTGAAATCTGTTCTAAATCATGCTTAATATTTTTGTGGAAGCCATGACACATCTTTTTTTTTTCTTCTGATGAATAGAAGGTTAAAAAGAATAGCATTGATTTGAAACAGAAATGTTTTGTATTATTATCAATTTCTTTATTGTCACTTTTGTTTCATTTAATGCATCCTTGCTGAATAAATGTATTAAAAAAAAAAAACCTTACTGAATCCAAACATGGTAATGGTAACTACCAAAAAATTGGTAATGTAGCTCTTGTCATTAGTTTTGTTTTCATTTCATTTTGTCTTCATTTTTATTACCCAGGGATATTCTGCAGTTCTAATCTTGTCCAGATTTTAAAAGTGGTGTGTAATGTCACAAAAAATGGCCTTAGTAAACAATGAACACATCGTTTTTCACACAGTGAGCTAAACTCAAGAGAGCAATGCAGAATACAGAGGCACAATGTCCAAATACATGAACGAAGTGTGTGAGAGCGAGAGTTTTGAAGTGGGCCAGAGCTCACTGTGATGATGTCATCAGGATTTACAATCGGGTCACCAGGGCTGAACACTCTCCAGACAGATTCACACGGACTGAAGAGGAAGTGTATTTTGTGTGTATGGGCGGAGCTTCTCTAATGCATCGTCAGTTAGAGAAGAAAGCGCTGGAGCCCAAAGACAGACAGACAGAGCCCTGACCACACACACACGCTGTTCTCTCTGCCTGAGCAGTTACACACTCACCTCCCACTGGAGATGAGGAGGAATGTTCCGGATCTGAATCTTCCGACTCCTGCAGACACAGAAACAAAGCGAGAGAGACAATGAGACAAAAAAGAAAGTGAAAGAGTGCAAGGAGAAATCAGAAAACAGAAGTGCAGCGATATTCAGCGTACGGGTGCTACAGCGTTAAAACATACAGGGGTGAAAGAAAACTCTTATAAAGCTTGAGCATCAAAGTGATGAAAATCATGATCATCTCTAAAGTGGTGTGAGCATTGACAGAGATTTAGAACTATAAAGCAAGCAGAAGTCATTCTTTTTCAGTTGTCCATTTATTGCAACATGAGCAACAGTAACCTTACTAGCAATATAAAATTGAAAAATATTGTGAATATGGTAAGGATTTTATTGTGCATTTTTCCCCATGTCTTCTCACAACTAAGACAGAAATGGTCTAAACTCTGTCAATTCTAAAACTCAGAATCAATGATATATTGATTATTTTGATTATTGATTATATATTGATATTATTGATTTATTTTGATTTTTGCACCAAGATAAAATTGCCACAAATCACAAGCCAATTTTCATGATTCATTGTGCAACTGTCCACTGACACATGCTCAGCGAGAGAGAGAGAGAGAGAGAGAGAGAGAGAGAGAGAGAGAGAGAGAGAGAAATGGATTAGTTTAGAGTGAGCAGGTCCCTCATTCACAACTTTGCACCAGAGTGACTCGTCTGTGTCTGAGCTCCATCATTCGTCGAGTCCGGCACTACCCAACAACTTTTGAGAGTTCTGTACCAACACCAAAGCCACACAAACCACTCCACCACAAGCTGTTAACAACTACATTAAAATGAGTGGAATCAAGCTGGCCAGAGGAAAGAGATTTAAAAGTGCAGTGAGAGAGAGGCAGAACGAGATCTGCAGAGCCACTTTCACACTCAGTTTATTGGGGCTCTTCTGCAGGTAGACTTTTGTAGGATTAAAAATTCATTTAAATGTCTAATTTGGGTTCCAATACAATAGTATTTTAACCGAAAAAGTTCAACACAGTCTTCCATTTCGAGACAATGAAGGTTTTGGACGCATCTCAAAGGTCAGTCACATACATTCAAACATCTCTTAGGTGATGTTCACATCTCAAAGGTCAGCTGGGCCTTTTGTTGATCTAATCAGGCTGTTTGGATTAGCATTTCAAGGCTCTGAGTTTTCTAATGAAATCAAGTAACCAGCTGAATCAACATACTTTGTTTCAGAGTGTCTCCACCTCTATGTAACCCCTCCCCCTTGAAAGGTATATCAACTACAATGTATATGCCTTAGTTAGACTTGGCTAAGATTTTTGGATGAAGCAGACTATAGCAATGCAACAGCAATAAAGAATCCTGCTTAAAAAGATACACCAGACTCAAGTCTCCTGGTCTTCGCTTCTGAGTTTCCTACAAATTAGAAGAAATAAGTCCACAACACTTTGATAAGACAAACACAGAGTAAACAACAGACGGATAACAGTGAAACGCAAGAGGCTTACTTATGTGCCGACTGAGTATCATCTTTCACCGTGCCCGGAAGTAAGAGATTAATTTTCATTCATCCAGAGTGCACTGAATACACAGAAAAGCTGCCCTGGTTGTTTCTACACATTTCCTCACTCTTTGCCCAGCACACTTTGAAATACTCTAGTGAGAGAGCTGAGCTCTACGTGGAATCGAACACACACACAGCTCTGTAAACCGTGACACTCCCTCTACGCCCCTCAAACCTTCTAACTGCCTCAGTCTTAGCGCATCCCTTCAGCTTCGGCTAATGCTGTGGCCTGCTAACTGTCAATCCCTCTAAGCTTCCTGAGAAGGGGCAATTTCCCATTTCAGCATGGCAGTTCAGCTAGCTCAAACCAACACCTCCTCATCCTGACCCTTAAAAATTAGAGGGTTCAACTGTAAAGGCCATTGCACACTGAGTCCGAAATTCGCATCCGAAAGTTTCGCACATTAAAAAAAAAATTCGACCTCACGTTATGTCAGTCACGCTTGCACACCGCCACGAAACTTTCGTCCGTCATAAAATTAATCGGATCGGGTTCGATTTTCTGCGTTTTTCGCATCCAGAGCCAGCATTTTTAGAGGTCTTTTGACAATTCAGAGCCGGGGGAGCTCGTCCTCAAATCATTGCACATATGCGCCGTGCTTTCAGTTTCGGTTTTCAATTCGATCAAGTGTTTATGTTCTCTTCTCTATATTGGATTATGAAATTAATAAACCTCCCCTTTCAATCAGATTGAAATTTAGGATCGAATAAGGTGTGATTGAGCAGCCTATTCGATAACTAATGTATTATTTGGGCACAATATATACACAATATATAGCCTACACAATAACTACACAATAATAGCTGTTCTGTCTGCCCAGCGCTTCCACCGGGCCGCGCGCAGGTGTGGTGTGTGTCCATACCTGGTCCATACCAGACACACTGCCAGTCTCCGTTCAGAATCGATTGGTTCACGGAAATTGGTGGTCTTGTTTTTAATATGTGGCTCCAGAATCGCTAGCAAAGCATCAAACTGTCCCACTGACATTCTGAGGTAAATTTTCAATCGCTCAGGATAAATTCGCAACTCCTTGAAAAGGAACTCTCCTTCCTCTCAGCGCAATTTCAGGATTGGATGGACGTAATATTTTCTCTTCCTTCTCTTTTCAATAAGAGAGAAGGCAAAAATCATCCTCACTGCTTGACGAATCCATTTGGCATTTTTGTGTTTTTTCCCGCAAAGGTTTAATAAATACGCAACGGACTCGGTGTGCAAGGTTTCTATGCGTGACAAATTTTTAGGCTGACGAACACGAAAATACGCATACGAAAATTTCGTACTCAGTGTGCAATGGCCTTAACACTGTCTCTACAGCAGACATGAGCAGCACCTCTCGATAAGCTAAATTGCTTTCATTATAATCAATGGAAGAGTCCACTGTATCAAGTTGTGACGCTCTCAATTGGCAGACGTGATGTTTCCATTCACGGTGCACTTGTAAGGGCTTCTCCAGTCACACTATTATCCTCATCTGTCTTAAACAGCTTTTACTTAGTTACATATTGTAATATGATTTTGTCCATACAGTGGAAGTCAATAATAACCAAAGCTGTTTGGTTACCAACAACAAAGTATCTTCTTTTGTGTTACAGACAGGAAATAAAGTCATACAGGTTTGGAATGGAATACGGGTGAATAACGAATGGCAGAATTGTTATTTTTGGGTGAACTAACCCTTTGATGGTGCATTTACTTTAGGCACATATAACTGCTTCTAATACCAAAAGATGGAGGGTGGATTTGTTTAGGTCTGTGAGTTATGAAGGGGAAAAAAACGGCCGAAAGCTGAGAAAATGGGAAAGCTGGATCAGAGCAAAGGAAAGAATAGAAGCAACTGCTAATTTCTCTGTCATGCCTTGTGTTGAGGTTCAAATGCCGACGACACAACAAGTGGACGACGGCTGTTTTTTTCTGTCTGCTCTCTCTCTCACTAACCACCATAACCATCCATGTTCTTCCCCTCTTTTTTCCTCCATCTCTCCATCTTTCCTCCACCCTGCTGGGGTGGAAAAAGTGACAGTGCTTTTCAGGGGCTCCTCATTTTCAGCATGCCTGTGGCAGCACTGGATTACTGAGCCCTTCCTGGACGTGCACAGGCTCAGATGCACACGCCCTGCCCATCACAGGAGGATCCTGGCCAACCTCAGCATGAACATCTCTCTGCCTATCTTCTACGCATTCACTCTCACAAAAGAAATGTACATAAGGACTTGAGCTGTCCGCTTTGTTTGCATGTTCTCAGTCTCAGTGCACAGTGGTGCTTGCAACACTTTAAAAAATGATATGATCAATAAGTTATGAGAACATATGTTTTTACAGTTTAATGTTATTTAAGTTTAAATGACTTAACATCAGTTGATTGTACTTAAAAATTGAAGGCAGCTTTTTTTCAGTAAACAGGTTTGAGTCAAACTAGCGTCATTTCTTATAAATAATGTGCCAAAAAAAAGTCCAAAAATGTACTGGTACTAAGTTGGTTATCTGGCAAATTTTGCGTATTTTTAGTGTTTCAGTATCGTAGAGTAGAAACTTAGCTGTTCATTTCGCCTACACTGTAAAAATAAATTTACTTTATCTAATCAATAGAATTGTGGCAACAGATCACAAACAATATTATTAATTAAATTGAACAAATTAGAAGTGAGTAATAATTAATCAAATTATTCCTTAAAAGTTAACCATTTAAACTAAGTTCACAAAAAAAATATATCTGACTAAAACACAGACGTCAGAGATTAATTAAGAACTCTTTATTTTATATTGCCAACACTGAAGACACCTGATGTTAACAAGCAGAATCACGGAAGGAGAAAACTGTAATTTTAAAACAAACACGATCACCATAATGGTGACAAATTTTCAATTTATGTTTTTTTGGTTGTTGTAAGTTTTACTCATTTTAAATGGTTAACTTTGAAGGAATTAATTTGATTAAATATTACTTAATTCTAATTTGTTACATTTAATTAACAATATTGCTTGTAATCTGTTGCCACAATTTTTTTGATTAGATAAATCATATTCATTTTTAGTGTAGTTTGAATTGACTTAACTTAACTTAATAACTTAATACTGTACATTATATTTTTTGATGCCTAAATGCATAGCATTTGTAGCATATAAAATTGTGTTTTAATGTTTAAGCTATGAAACTTGTTCATGTTTTTTATGGTACAAATTACCTCGTATAGGTCAAAAGATTGAGGCAAATTTGATTTCACATATCATGACCCCTTTAAACAATTTATCGGTCATCATTCATAACATGAAACAAATTATCAGTATCAGTCCAAATTATTTACATTGGTGTATCCCTAAAAAAACACTTAAAAGGTGAATTTAGTATATACGCAAAATGACACAAAAGAGACACATGCATAGAGAAACAAAACTCTTGAATTATGTGCCTGTTACTCTCTAACGCATGTAATGCCATAAATAAGTTCAGTTCACACACAAACACTGACAGGCATGATCT